TCAGCATATTATTAGGAAGAAAGATGACTAGCCTTTTGGTATAAATTATAATAAATTTGAACTCGGAGCGAATTTAAAAGTATAATTTTTATTTGGACCTATATGGTTTGTGAGTCAAACCCACCCTCCCCATCCCTACTCCCCTGCCCCTCTCCTTCTTCCTTTCTCTTCCACTACTATGAGAGTCAATGTTGAAACTTAAATACTGAGATCCATAAGTTTTATATTTTTTAGTTAAAAATTTGAATACGTACGATATTTGATATATAGATTATTTGGTTAAGTTCGTGCAATTTTTTCACAATTAAACTCGAATCTCACTCACTCCTATTATGTGAGATTAAAAAATTCACCTTGTCTCACGTTGGTAATAAATTATCTTTCATTATAGTTATTTACAATCAAAAGGTAATCTATTTTCTGATATAAATTATCCGGATTTTACAGGACACTATATCCGCTAAAATTATATTCCCAATACATAATGCATTTTTTTAAGAAAATTTAATAACAAATATAAGATGATTTCCAATAATTTGATTACTGGTATTGTACAATAAATGGTGTTGATAACCATAAAAGATATCAAAAATTTATAGTAGGTTATCTTTCATTATAGTTATTTAGAGTTTAAAGGGAATATATATTTTGGTATAAATTATCCTGATTTTATGGGATAGTGTATCTGTTAATACTAAATTTTCATATTTCTTGCTTAATATTTTCTGTAGTACAAAATTAGTTAATAGAGATTTCATCTTTCAACTCTATATATAGGTTAATACACTTAAAGTTTCTCTCATTCTTCTCAAAATCATAGTTTCTTAGTTATAAATTATGTTTAATTTTATCGAGTAGAAAAAGACAACGAAGACAAAGAGGATGATGGAGAAGAAACATTTGCACAATTTTTATACCGTCGAATTAGTAATTAACCAAAACATTCCTCTACAACTTATCCTACTTGATTATCTCAATTATTTTTATACAGTATTTTAAACGATTAAAAATATTGTCCATTTTACAATATATATAAGCAACTATTAAATATTTAAATAATTTGATTGCATAATGTATATTGAAGATATATACTTGCATAAACAATATTTTATATTTATATTTTATCTCCTTTTTTATGGATCATAAACTTTAATTTTTTGCTAATTTCATTTTTGTAAGATAGTACTACAATTATATATATGTATATATATAAATTTACGTATCTTTTATACAATATACCATTGAGTTTATTTTATTTTTTTACGAGTTACCCGAAACTTATTTTAACTTATTTTTAATTGTGAATATTTAAGGTTGGAACTGCTGGAATTGGACTGTTTGGAAGTCCCTTCCAAATGCTAGTTCAATTTTCAACAAAGAGGATAGATGGTGAAGTGTCATGGTGATGGCCACTACGGATGAAGAAGAGAATGATAGGTTAAAGGATGGTAGTAAGTAGGGTTTGAGTTGTCTATATGCATCATTATGTATATTGCACTCTTTCCCACCAGAAAAAAGAATGACACTCCCAAGTACTTATTAAAATAAAAAATACTTGCATTTATCAATTATATGAAATATATGCCAATTAATAGTATATATATAATGACCGTTGATAAAATAGGTAGAATTGCGCTGCTAGAGCTATTCAAGACTGGAACTGCTGGAGTTGGATCGTTTTAAAGTTGCTTGTAGGTGTTAGTGCAATTTTAATAAAAGAGGAGAGATGATGAGGTGTCATGGTGATGGCTATCACCAACGAAGAGGAGAATGATAGACTTAATGAAGGTAGTAAGTAAGGTTTGAGTTGTAAGCAGATGTATACAATTTTCAAGAGAATAATAAATATCTATGTGCATCAATGTGTATATCGCGTATCTTTTCAGCAAGAAGAAAATGTCATTGACAAGTATTTATAACTTTTTTTAGTAGAAATGCATGCATCGTCAATTAAATGATACATATACACCAATCATAATAATAAAAATAATTTTTTTAAAAAGACACACATGAAAATGCTACCCGACGTATACCAATAATATCTTATAGAGAAAAGAACATGCTAACTATTTAGTTAAATAATGGTTAGTTAAGCTCTTGTTAGTTAATCTCAATAAATAACACATTCTAAACTCTATTTGAACAGAGACAAAAAAGAAAAGAATATTAATTGATCATCAAAAACAAAACATCCATAAGTAGAGTTACATTAGTAAGTTTGTATATACAAACGTAGATTTGTTGGATGAGATTCTAATTTGTGAGATATCAAAGATAAAAACCAGACAGTAAACATTAGAGAGTATAATGGTGATTTTGATGTCCTATAACATAGCTTAATCCTGAGAGTAACAGTGGTAAAGCGAAATCTAACAATTTGTGGTGGGTAGACATGAAATCTAAATAACAGAGCTCCATTTCCGAGAGCAGTAGCAACAGAGCAAAATGGAATTGTCTGTGTTGGCGGTGAGAGGCAAAGAACCAGGTGGTAGGAAGGAACGATTGGAGGGGAAAGGGAGACGGCGAAGGTGTGGATAGGGGACGAGGAGAGAGGGAGGGGAGGAGAGGATAAGAAGGTCATTTTTGTGTTTGTTTGTTCGAAGTCGTTATCAAAGCAAATGGATTTTGAAACTAAAAAGGAAAGAGAGTGGGGGGGAGGAGGGGAAAACGCAGAGAGTGGATTTGTTTTTCTACGTTTTGGCCATTTCACGGGTCTATTTTGACATGCACTTGACGATGAGGTGGGGCCAGATTTTAGAGTCTCGACTCTTATATTTTTTATTTAATTGAATAAAAAAAAATAATTTGACACGTTCTTTTTTATTAAATAATTAATATAAATAAATTAATTAAAATTGATTGCACATAAATATTTAAAAAAGTTCAATTGAATATCAATAAATATATTTAACACTTATTATTTTTAATTATTTAAATTATAACTTACGTTAAATATAACAATTAAAACACAATAAAAATAAATTTTAAAAATTAACAATAAATCAACTTGAATTCATAATTTATATATAAAAAAGAATATATGTATTATTTAACTAAATAATAATAAATAATATATAAAATTTTTAGTACCTAAAAAATGATAACAAGGAAGTTTGACAAAAATATTGGGGAACAAAGTTAAAATTTGATAATTTTTTATATGATTTAAATTTATAATATTGTTTATAATGCCAAATTGAATTGATAACATTACATGTTGGAGATATTCTCTAAACTATAAATTTAATAATTCATTTTTAATTTCATAATTTTTAGTTGAGAACTTAAACAAATAGAATATTTAGACAATAAATATGATTTTTCTTAAAATCCCAAAAAAAGAAAGCTAGAATGATTTTGATGTATTTTGTGAAGAACATAGATAATGCAGTAAAAGGAGATATTCTTGTATTTTCTACTAATAGTTTTTCCCCTTTTCTTTTGGATGCATAATAGAAAGGTTACACATGATGCTGAAAGAAGATGGAGGTATCAAAGCCCTAGTAGGAATGGTTGGATGTGGGAATATTGATGTCATAGCACAAGTTGCCAGGGGGATGGCAAACTTTGCAAAATGTGAATCTCGAGGAATCATTCAAGTTCTGCGTCCTTTTACTCAAATAGTAGTAATATCTAATCTCACAACTACTGACAAATAGGTGCTGCAGGACACAGAAAGGGTTGTTCGCTTCTGATTGAAGATGGTGCTCTTGAATGGCTAATTTCTAACTCAAATATCACTTCAGCTTTAGCTCGACGCCATGTTGAGCTTGCACTTTGTCATTTAGCCCAAAATGGTAACTTCTCAGTCGATATTCAAGATTGTGATTATCATGTTGATGTCATCCATATTAGAGTATTACTGTCAATACAATAATACAATTATACAGCTGTACTTAGGTTTCTTTTGAATAATTTCTCATTCAATTCTCAATTTTAATTTTTATATATGCATAATTGGCGTGTTTTAGTTACCACCTCTCTACTTTGAGTTCCTTCATTGTGGGAACAATTCTTACTTACTCGAGTTGGGTGCTAAGTTCCCCCACTAAGAAATTAAAAGTAAGAGTGATGGGAACTTGAGCACAACAAATTATGTTTCAATTAAGAAGAATATAAGAATTAAAAATAAGAATTTATTAGGAATTAAATGGAAAATGAACTAAAAGCAGTGTTGGTTCCAAACTTATATAAACTAATCTCCTTCTTCAAGTTACGTGGCCAGCCACCATAGATCCCATGTTTGAAAACCGTGCCTTTGTGGCATCAATATGTTGATTGACGATATCCTTTGAGTCATCATTCTGTCATCTAAAAATTTGATATCATATTAAGATTTTCATCAAAGTTGCTTCATTTTGTAGTCAAGGTTAATTTTTATTGCAATTATCCTATTAGATATTCTTCCCCATCTTCATTATCGAGGATGCCTTTAGGTTCTATCCTGATAATCTTGACCTATTTTAGTTGATCTTGCATTGTAGAGGATAATGTCAGGGATTTCATAACCACTGGAGGAGTTGAAGAGCTTATTTGGATCTCCATTGAGTCAAGTAGAGAAGATTTCCATAGCTTAGCTAAGAAAGGTCATGAAAGATAAAGAGGCAAAGGTGTGTATGTCTATACCACCGGCCAAAAAGAAAGAAGAGGAGACCTGCACGCCGAGGAAGAAGGTTTGAGTAGGACTCCTTCTGCCCCTCCCTATAAAACACAAAGGGAGGGAAGGAAATCGGTGCAGGAAGAGAGAGAGAAAGAGAGAGAGAGGAATATAGAGAGAAGGGCTATGGTTACCATCAATTTGCAACCGAGAGAGGAGAGGAAGAAGAAGAAAAAAAAAAGGAAGAAGAGAGGTCGGTGCTGCACACAACGGTGCACATGAAAAGAAGACAATCTGTGCGGCAACTTGACGCGTGTTTTGTTGTTCTCCTGCTCCCTTCGGCGTGATTCCATTAGATCTATGTCGGATCTGAGGGTGTGAAATGCTCTACGGTGAATTTTGGCCAATTCATAGCGGCGATTGGTGATGAACGGCAGCGGCACATGGCGATCCGGTGGAGGTGCATGTGGAGGCATGCGGACTTCTGGTGGTTGTGTGCAGTGAGTCCTTAGAACCCAGTTCGGGTAGATGAGTTCAAAAAACCATAATGGTTTACCATTTTACATTTAGGGTTAATTAATCCTATTTAATTTTAATGCAATAAATTATTTATCCAGTTTAGAATTAGGGATAAGTTTGGACACGGATGTTTGAAATTAGGGGATAACCAATTCATTACTAACCCGATATGGATATCACTGTAACAGGTTGATCTTGTACATTAGAGATAATTTCACGAACAAGATCTAGACAGAAATCAGGTAAGTGCGTAAGCAATTACAAATGTAGTTTAATCTTTTTAAGATACTAAAACTGTAACGTTTAAGCATTGGTAATTAGGTGCAGGATTCTGATAATATTTTACTATTGATTGTTGTGTTCGTATTTATGTTTACTACTGAAATTGCTAATGAATTATTTTACTATATTTTGGTAATTGAATTCGTATATGTACTGGTTGCTATGTAATTGAGAATATATTAAGGATATATAGAAGAGTCTAGGCTGGTGAATAGTTCCAGTATGCGTATTATAGGTATAAAATATATTAAATAATAAAATTAGAAAATTTATTAGAGAGTTGGAATAAATAAATAGACATTAAAAGATTTGAGAAACTCATTTAACTGGTATCACCGAGGGGTGGGTGTGTGTATAGCATTTTATCGTGTGATTATGGTGAACCCTACCCGTGGATACGAATTTAGCCAAACGGCAAAACAACAAGTACTGTGAAACTGTAAACTGAATATTGTATACTGCAAATTGTAAACTATGAACTGAACTATAACTTATTCACATCATATAGGGGATCTTTACTGCTCTCATTGATACCGGCAGAAATGGCATCTCGCGATGAAACTATTGTTAATAGGATATAAATCGATAAGAATAAATAGAGAGTCATTTGTAACATTTATAATACTGAAATACTGAATTAATATCTACTGAATTGTTTATTGTCTAAATTGTGATACTGAATAATAAATTATGCTATTTATTAAACTGTTTATATCTTGAGTTATGATACTGAAATAATGAATTTTGAATGTTTACTAAATAAAATGATTTATAAGATTTGGTTAATGAATTTGGGTGTAGATACCACGTGCTTTCTGAATTAAAGAGAAAAGTATTAAACAATCTCCATTGGTAGTTTTATGTTATCTACAAACTTGGACATATTATCCTATTATTTGTTGGTACTTACATGCTTATTGAGCATATTAAGCTCACCCTATTTATTATAAATTTTTTTAGATTAGGATATTCATAACCCCGCTCCTGAACAGTGAAAGACTTGCTAGAAGATCACTTAATTTTTATTTTAATTCAAACAGTACTTAATGTTAATGATTTCATTTTTAGTGAGTATTTATTTTAGAGTTTAGATATGCCTCATGCATATTGGATATTTTGGGCTCTAAAGTCTGATTCTAGCTCCCAAGTAGCATCCCTTGGCGTGTGGTTCTGCCACACGACCTTCACAAATGACATTTTCCGGTTGCGGGTATTCTGCTCTTTCGGTCCGTGATACCAACTGGTACTTCCTCATAAGATAAGTCCTCTTGGAGTGGAAGCGGTTCATGAGCCAAGACATGAGAGGAGTCCGGGTTGTACTTACCTAACATTGATACATGGAACACATTGTGGACCTTGGAGAGCTTTGGAGGCAGTGCTAGTCTATAGGCGGTAGTACCAATCCTGTCTAAGACTTCAAATGGCCCAATAAATCGGGGGTTCAGTTTTTTCCTCTTGCCGAACCTACTAATTCCCTTGAAAGGAGTGACCTTAAGGAACACCCGGTCGCCTTTCTCAAATGCTAAATCTCTCCTCCGAGTGTCCGCATAACTCTTCTGCCTGCTCTGAGCCGTCTAAATGTTCTTTCTGATTTTAACTATTTTAGACATATTGAACTTAACATCCATTTTATCCGTGAAAGGGGCAACTGGGTAGTCCAAGGATGAGGTAACATATGGGTTATGAAATAGGAGCTGTCATGGTAATTATGTTGAAATTCAAGGGAAATTTAGGTAGTAGTGTTATGGTAACCATATAAGTACAGGGATAAATGGCTATTTGAGTGGGAGAGTGATGACAAAGAGTAGAGAGACTATTGGGGACAAGTCAAGAACGTGGATAACGGGCTATTTGTACCTGTGAGCTTTGGGAAGAGTCTAAGCAACACATTTGTACAAAATAACACAGCAGATACAATTCACAATAAAAAATCACATTTGTATAAGATCACACAGTAGCTACAATGCACAATAACATTATTGTCATATGCAATAATCATAAAAGAGGAAAAGTGTATAATAACTTTATCGTCCATGTAATAGGGTTCACTATCACTTAGATAGACAAGATTTTGATCATATACACACCCTCACACACTTGATATTTGACTAAACAGTTTGATGTATCACCCAGTTTTATACTATTTAAAATTTTCCTTATATTGACTCAAATTTTCACTCAATAGTCTTTATTAAATTTCTCCGAAGTTTACTACTATGATTTGACTTTGTGAATGATCTTCTTACTCTTATTTTATGTAACGGCCCCGGAAATTTAAATGAAATGTATGTATTAAAAATCTCAAATGCGGAAGCATAATAATAAAAATTTGATTAACATCCCTTACACAATAACCAAAACATACTCAAAACATGAAGGAACAAACTAACTGAAAGAGATACTCGAAATAAGAACTATAAATATAACTATGAAGTCTTTAGGCGTCCCCTTCACCGTCTTCCTGTGGAACGGGCTCGGGAACAACGTCTTCCTGATCTGAAATGGTTAAATAAGGAATGAGCTGCACCAGCCCAGTAAAGACATCACACTATCTCACCGCCACGGAAGTAAAGGTGGGTAGAAAACAAAAATGACCGATGGAGCATAATTTATAACAAACTCGTTTATTAACATAAAAACCTTTACTGTCCACTTACCTCGGTGAGATCCATGAAAACAACATATGAAAGCAATAACATTATCATCATCATGAAATCATATAGACGTTATAACATAACACTTACCACGCCTTTGTATTTCAATCATTAAACAACATATTTTCCTCATTTACCAGCCTACTAGTATCCATGGGGATCCATAGGGGGTCCCCACTATCCGTGAACCATTAACATCAATAACCTGATTCCAGGGCCGTCCACCATCTCCCAGGATATCTAGTCAGGCTGTCCACATTTTTCACTTATCAATTCACATAACCTTTTTACCTTTTTTCTTAATCTCAATCATCCAATCATACACAACATGTAAACCAGTAATTGACACCAAACAAGGCAACACAGTATCAGGTTCACCATAATACAAACCATAATAAAAGAAATCATGATTCATGCATACGAGACCATAACATAATTACATCAAACATCATACTGCATTTAATACTGAAAATTAGATCAAACAACAACTGACCAACAATGTATCAGACTCGGGCTCCATTGGCAACCTTAATCAATTATACATCTATAAAGTCACAAAATACCGTTTAATTATTTATTAAGCTTTAATACCGTGATAGGTAGTAGTAGTAGTACTAGTACCTATAAATACCCATGTACTTGAAAGCTTCTAGCATCAACCACAAATCAAAACTTGAATTTCATAATTAGTCTCTCTTATTTCTTCCTCTCATATTTCAACAAATTATTATATTCAGCTAGTCTATCTCTTCATTTTTTCTAACAAAAACAAATCAAGCCTAATTGATGATTTTGCCATTTGTAAGTCGATTTGTAAATTCAAATTCTTCTTCAATTGAATTAATATGGCAATGAAATTTTTTTCTTCAATTAAACTAATTAGTTAATTCAAGTAAGAAAATATGGAAAAAAAAATGTCAGATAGATAATAATACTATTAAAATAAACTAGATTTTTTTTTGTGTTACATATAATGCAGCAGTATTAGCAATAGTAGTAGCAGCAGTAGCAATAACAATATTAGCAATCGTAGTAGTAACAGTGATAGTAGCAATAGTAAAAATAGTAATAGTAGTAGCAATAGCATTAGTAGTAGCAGTAACAGTAACAGTAGCAATAACTTTCTAACAAAAACAAATGAAGTCTAATTGATCATTTTTCTATTTGTAGATTAATTTATACATTGAAAGTCTTCTTCAATTGAATTAATGTGATGATGAAACTTTTTTTTTCATTTAAATTAATTAATTAATTTCAAGTAAAGAAATCTGAAAAAAAATGCTGGACAGTTAATAATACTATTAAAATAAACTATATTTTTGATGGTATTATATATAATACAGTAGTAGTGGCAGTAGAAGTAGCAGTAGTAGCAGTAGTAGCAGTAGTAGCAGTAGCAGTAGTAGCAGTAGTACAAGTAGCAGTGATAATAGCAGTAGTAAAAATAGTAACAATAGTAGCAGCTGCATCAGTAGTACCTGTTGTAGTAGTAGTAGCAATAATAGTAATAATAGAAGTAACAGTTTTAGCAGTAGCAATAGTATTAGT